CCAAATTAAAGGCTAATGATATAATCCGAAAGATTCCGAATAGAATCTTGGATACTTTTCGTGTTATTTGATTTTTATATTTATTCAAATATATAATCTTTCTAGAAGAATTGAAGAACATATGGACTTTTCTTCAGTGAGAAAGTGTGCTGTCCAAAATCTTAAAAGTGTGCTGTCCAAAATCTTTGTGACTCTTATTTCTTTTTCATCTAGTTGTATTTACCCAAATTATCATTTTTTGCAGAAAATATTTTTAAGGGCGAATCGTTCCAGTTTGAAGCAATTACTGCTAAACTTATATGTGTTGCATTAACACCAATCAGCACAAGTTCTTGAAAGTTTAAGAAATTTTAGCTACAGACATTAAACCTTCATCACCAATCCTATTAGTTCTCAACCACATTTCTTTCTAGAGAATCAAAAACTACTTACGTTTGCACATGATTCTCAACGTGCAACAAGCTTACGGTAAAAGATTCAATACATATACTAATGACAGTAAAATGTTCAATACATATACTAATGATGATAAAGCAGATAAATATCTGGATCTGTGATTTACCTTTTAGTACAAATTAAGCAGTCATCACTCACCGATAAAAAAAAAAACACAACAACATTACCTCCCAACTATTTCTACTTTATTGCCTCTCTTCTCTTTAGATCCTCAAAATTCCAAGGAGCATAAGACGGAACACTTTTAGTACAAATGAAACATGGCCTTGTTAAATATCCCATCATAGCTTCGAAATTAGCATCCGCAGTTAAAAACCGTAGGGTACGCGGTAGTAACCCATTCAATGCATTACCTATAGAATTGTTGATTATTTGATGATGAGTTCAGGTGCATCACCTTTATCAACTGGTTCATAGGTAAATTATACAAGAACTTCAGAGCTTCCTTCTGTCCACACTATTGTGTTTCCTGAAACCATGTTCATCGAGGATATCATGAGTAGTAAACATACTTAAATCTCCAGACACCAAATTCTTCCAAGACAAAAATCTATAACTTGGGTTTATAGTTATAAGTCTTCCAATCAGGCCGTCAAACATATCACGCAGATCTGGAAAGAGATTGGGTCAGTACTAAACACATAGCTACTCCTTAACAATTTTTTTAACATTGCAAAAACCTTTTATTTTGCCAATGTTTTTGCAAGTTCCTTCATTTGTAACTCCGTCTCAACCCAAACATATGAACCACTCATTTTCAGTGAACACTCTCCCCTCAAAAATCCAATTACTCAATCCACAAGTTCCAAGATCAAGAGCTAGAAAACAATTTAAGAACACATATCAAACCAATTTAAATTAGATACCAAAAAATACAAAATCCAAACCTCTCCACATCAAAGAAACATATAGATTACTTTTGTGGTACATGATGTGCAAGATTTTAGAATGCTTATGTTGTACAAAGACTTATCATATCATATTTACCTTTGGACTGATAGAAGTAAAATGATCAAGATGGCTGATAATATGTGTATATGTTGTGCTTTTTTTAACTTTCCAAATAAAAAGATGTTTGTATTTTTTTCTTTATTTATGTGATTTTTTAGAAGAATAAATAAAATTAAGGAAATTTGATATAAAAACAACAGTTTTCTCTATCATCGTGAAAGTAAACATTTTGGTGGTTAATCAACTCTTTTTGAGTTTTGAAGTTTTTATACTTAATTTTCCAAATGAATCAGATTATATATTCCATGTTAGGTAATTTATAAAGAATTTGTCCATCACCTCCACGTCCGAATTCACTGCCTCTAAATCCATTAGGATGATTGAGATAGATATTTCATTTTCTCTTTTTAGCGAGATAAGTAAGACCTATATATAGCATCAGGTTCCTAACATTTCATCGAAATCAAAAAATAACTTATCACAAATCTAGGAAAAGTCCATTGACGAACTCAATGCACTCAGAATACTGAAATATAACCAAAATAAGAATCAAAATTGAGATGAAAATCTTAGTGTTTCCGGAAATTTTGGACTATAGCGTAAATCCAGAATTATTCCTCTAAATATCAACAACATCAAACTCGAAATATATAAATACTCAAATCTAACCAAAGATGAATCAAAATTGAAAAGAAAATTTCACCGGCTCTTGGAAGTTTGGAATCCAACGCAAATATGGGTATTCCACTAACATATCAACATTGAACTCATAATTCGTTATTAATTAATCTGTTAAGATTATGGTTGGATGGGTTCGATTACCCATTTTAACATGTTATGTTTTTTTTTCACCAAAATAACATAGCACTATGAAAATTAACTTTTATCCACCCAGTACTTAAAGAACATATTTCTTCCAAAAGATTTTGTGTAAATTGACAAACAATTTATCTATTGTTATGAATATTATGTGTATTATAGGGATGCCTAATATTGGCCTATTAGTAAATTCTAGAAGACTTTATATTACTTGATCTTCAAGCTAAACTCTAATATTGTATCCTTATATGTATATATCTTGTATCTTATGGAATACATCAATAATAGAGAAATAATTTCCTAAATCTCTTTATCACAACATTTATTGCACCAAAATAAAAAGAACTTTTTAACTGTCCACAAAATTAGATGAACTAGACTACAATTTGGAAACTTTTAAATCATACACTTTAAACACACTTGGTTTAACGGAATATAGATTTTTTAAAAATTTTTAATAATATTTTAATCTAAATTATAATTATTTTAATAATTAAATTTGAATAAAGTGCCAAAAACCAATTTTAAATGGACTGAAATTAAGATATAAATGTTTCTTGTAAAAATTAAAAATTAAGGTTAATATATAGAAATATTATACATCAAACTATATATATCTTGTTACCAAGTATCACACCCGTCTCTCTCAACATTGAGACGGCGTGCTTTCACCTTACTTATCTTTTCCTCTATTCCACTTTTCTAATTCATCATTTCATATTTTTACGGAAATCCTGTTTTTTAATATTAAAACTCAATAAGTTGTCTTAAAAAATAATATCATAATTAGCTGAAAACCATTGCTAGAACGTAACAAAAAAAAGAGTTTAGAAATATACGAAAATAAAGGTAAAGGCAAATAAATCTGAGGTTCCCAAAATACACGACAAACAAGACAGATTTGCGCGACTACTCACGATTCTCACCCTGACCTCAGAAAAAGGGAAAAAAGGGTGCATAAAGAATTACTCAGTGAGAGAGTCCTTTCCGCCCACTGGAAACACGATGACACGATTCTAGTCTTAAACAACAAACAACGATCACATAGAAAAAGACACAACACTCATATAGTTTGCATCACTATGCAAAACTATAACACAAAACTATAACACAAAACTCATTCTTGCCTTAGCAAGATCTCCACATCAAAACCAGGTTCGATCATCTCCCATGATCTTTAAACTTATTTAGTTCCACTGGACTCATAAGTCTATTATTGAGCTACAAAAAACCCGTCAATTTATTCATCGCAGACTTATTTTTTTGTTCATCCGATTTATAGTTTTTTCTGTCGACTTGTTTATTCATCGTAGACTTATTTCATTCTACATGGACTTATTAGTAAGGTCGATTTTTTGAACTGGAGAATTAAATTTCATTTCGTCGACTAAATTTATATCAGTCGACTTATTTTAAAACATTCAACTTATATTTAGGTTGACTAAATTTTAACATAGTCGACCTTTTAATATGTCGACTTATTTTTCTTGATTATTGATTTTAGAATTTATTCCGTTGAGTTATTTATTCTTGGTAGACTTATTTTATTTTATGTTGATTCATTAATAACTAATAAGGTATATTTTTTGAACTGTCGACTTATATTTTAGTTTTGTCAACTTAATTTTCTTCTCCATCACTTATATTAAAACAATCGACTGATATTTTGGTTAATTGATTTTAAATATTGTAGATTTTTTTAAATTATTTATTTTTTTGAAATCGAGATAATTGATAATTTAAGTTAAAAATTAAATGTTGGTTATAAAATGATATTCATAATTAGTATGAAAAGATTTAGTGTAATTAAATGATCAGTTATCTTGATTTCAAATTATCATTAACTTAAATTAAGATATGTATATACAAATTGTAATTGAAGATATATATATATTTTCGAAACTTTTGAATAAATTAGTAAAGATATAAAAATTAGCTTATTTATATTTTCTGATTTTTAATTATTAAAAGGGTAAAAATGTCATTTTAAAATCAAAATTAGATATATCTCAAAAAGTTTATAATGATGGTGTAGAGTTCAAATTTCTAGTTAGATATAAGGTATACAATCAAATTAATCCTTATATTTTTCATTTAAAAAAGGGGGTATTTTTCAAAGTATAACTCAAAAACATGGTAGTTTTCAAAATGACCATTTTTCTGTTTCATCTAATTTAATTTTATTTACCTAAATTCTCATTCTTATGATAATACTTTTTAAAGATAAAAATCGTATAAAACTATCTATTAGAAAAATAAAAATGTGAAATCATAAACAAAAATTAGACAAAAAAAATATTTAATTCATATCAAACAATATATATATATGGAGTTAAGACTTATAATTTAAATTTGTATAGTTAAAAATATATTAAAACGGAACTTATGCAATTTTAGATAGCTAAAACGGTCGTCCGGTCAACTAGACGTCTTTTGAGCGCCTAACATCTAGACGGACATAGACAACCAACTAGACCATTTTTTAGAACACTAGTTTTAATGCACGGATTATCGCTTTTTAGAAACTTTTGAAAATTGTTTTCATATTGATTGTCATAATTGGTTACAAGTTACAACACTAGTAATGGCGAGCTCGGATTCTTGCATGCAAAAAAGGTGAGCAAATGGGGGACTTGTGTCATGGACACACTATTTTATGCACTAAATCTAGTGATATGTTATTTAATACGTAATCAATATTATTACTTTTTTTTTTTGATATAATATTATTACTTCCTATATATAGAGACTTGCGAGCCGAACACACATAGTACCACACATCTAAGATAACAAACAACTTATAGTTTTCCATGGCAGTCTCAACACATCATCATGTGATTCTCTTCCCTTACATGTCAAAAGGCCACATCATCCCTCTCCTCCAATTCGGTCGTCTCCTCCTCCGTCACCACCGCAAAGAACCAACCATCTCCTTCACCGTCACCGTTTTCACCACTCCCAAGAACCACCCTTTCGTCTCAGACTTCCTCTCCAACACCGAGGAGATCAAAGTCATCTCTCTCCCTTTCCCGGAAAACATCACCGGAATCCCTCCCGGCGTCGAGAGCACCGACAAGCTCCCTTCAATGTCACTTTACGTCCCCTTCACACGCGCCACGAAGCTTCTCCAACCTTTCTTCGAAGAAACACTCAAGAACCTTCCAGTTTCGTTCATGGTCTCCGATGGATTTCTTTGGTGGACATCGGAATCCGCAGCTAAGTTCAAGATTCCTAGATTGGTCTTTTACGGTATTAACTCTTACGCCTCTGCCGTCGTCAGCTCTACTTTCCAACACAAACTCTTTACCGAACCGGAAATTAAATCTGATACCGAACCGGTCACTGTACCGGACTTTCCATGGATCCATGTTAAGAAGTGTGATCTCGACCATGTTCTTACCGATCCAAAACAATCAGGTCCTGCTCACGAACTATTCGTAGACCAAATGATTTCGACCACCACAAGCCATGGGTTTTTAGTCAATAGTTTCTACGAGCTCGAGTCAGCATTTGTTGATGACAACAATAACCTCTCTGATAGACCAAAGTCGTGGTGTGTTGGGCCACTGTGTTTGACAGATCCTCCTAAATCGGTGGGTGCTAAACCGGCTTGGATTCATTGGTTGGACCGGAAGCGAGAAGAGGGGCGTCCGGTTTTGTACGTGGCGTTTGGAACGCAGGCAGAGATATCGGACAAGCAGCTCAAGGAACTAGCTTTAGGCTTGGAAGATTCCAAGGTACGTACTAGAACTAAGGTCATAAATAAGTAATTATGTGTAGTCCATACCAAATGAAATTTAGTGAACCGTTCAAGGAGGTTTTCAGACATTAATTAGGTGTTATACTTTAGTTTAAGACATTGTGTCGGCCACGAGAGCTAGGGCGTCCAAACTCTAAAAAATGTTGTCTATGTTTAATTCTTTACTTATTCATTTTTATTTTTTTTGGTAACAAACTTATTTATCTTTAGTCTTTACCAACCAATACTTAACATTTTCACTATCATTTTAAACTTTGTTTTCTCTATCTTTTTTTAGTCGAAAACTTTTTTTTTATTTTATTTTATATTTTTTAGTCGAAAACTTTGGTTTTCTCTATCATTTTATTTTATTTTAATCTTATATGACAGACAGTTTTTGACCATATTTCATTTTATTTTAATATTGAAATTTGGGAGCCATGTCCATGACCAGCCCTGAATATAATGACTTTAATTACGCAAGTTGGTATTAAGTTAATAAACACGTGTTTTCTACCGTTACGTTACGTTTTCCGTCGACCTAAATACATTATACATGGTCTAGAATATAATGGAAAACTATACAAGTTATGCATTATTGTGAGGTATGCCGTATGTACATGTCGAGTCAATAATAAGTGTTTCATTTCATGACGTATTTCAATTCATTAAAGGTGAACTTTCTGTGGGTCACGAGAAAAGACGTGGAAGAGATTATTGGAGAAGGATTCAACAATAGAATAAGAGAGAGTGGGATGATAGTGAGAGATTGGGTGGACCAATGGGAGATATTGTCACATGAAAGTGTCAAAGGATTTTTGAGCCATTGTGGATGGAATTCAGCTCAAGAGAGCATATGCGTTGGGGTCCCATTGCTGGCTTGGCCGATGATGGCCGATCAACCACTCAATGCGAAGATGGTTGTGGAGGAGATAAAGGTCGGAGTAAGAGTTGAAACGCAAAATGGTAGTGTGCAAGGATTTGTGACAAGAGATGAAATAAGTCGAAAGGTATCGAGAAACAAGAATGCTTTTTTTTATTATTATTATTAGTGAATCTAAAAAATTGTTACAGTAAATTAATGGTAACTAAGTAACTAACCACGTTTTGGCGTTTCAAAATATTTTAATTTTACAGGTTAAAGAACTAATGGAAGGTGAAACGGGAAAAACCGCAAGAAAGAATGTGAAAGAATACTCAAAAATGGCAAAAGCAGCTTTGGTCGAAGGGACTGGTTCGTCTTGGAAGAATTTAGATTTGCTTCTTAAGGAGTTATGCAAGAGTAAAGAGCCAAACGGTGAGTGATTGAGGATTGGATAACTGAACCGGGTTTAGATTAAAACCAATATCCATTATGTATGTTATTTGATCTTGAATAATTGGTTTAGTTGAAAAGTTGATTAAGACCAGCTTAACCGGTGGAATAATGTACTGTGATCTTTTAATAATCGACTTTTTATTCGATGGTTTTGACGATAAATGACTAAATCAATGAAAGCTAAACCGGTCTCATGCCATTATGGGGATAACTTCTCGAAACATCAGCATTGTGAATTCCAATCTTGTCTTGTCCTCTTCCAAAATTTTAAGAGATATTGCTATTAGTGAAGAGTTTCAACTTTCAACCATTGATCAGGATAAACAAAACACAAAATCCACTAAAAAAATCTAGATTACTCTTTCAAGTTTTTGACTCTCACGATATCTCATATCTTGTTCTTTGTGTTTTCCGTTTGATGGAAATGCCAACACAAAGTAGTTAGCAACTCCAAAATGGCGAAACGATGGTATTTGACTATTTGTTATAAAATTGGACCAAAAGGATTGTTATAATTCGGGGGTTATCTTTTATCTTCTTTTTTTTTTTGGACAAACGGGGGTATTATTTTATCTAGTCTACACATGCACATACTATTGTAAATTTCTCTATACTAATGGAAAAAAAAAATTAACACTCTATACATCTTCACATCTTCAATAGTAAAAATATTTGTTTTTGGTCAAGAGGCAATGTTATCAATGTCTTCACACCAAGGACAAACATTGATAACATTGCCTCTTGACCAAAAACAAATTGTGACAGACATTTGACAAAAGGAAAACTAAAACCCCTATATAATATTTCTGCATCTAAAAGACAAAAACAATACAAAGAGAGGAGGTCAACACGTGAGTAAGAGTAGGTGCAATGTGTCCTTTCTTCTTTTACATTCTTTCTCTTGTTCAATCATCATCACTTTTCAGACAAAAAGATAAAGAAGGTAAAAAGAAGAAAGGACACATTGCACCTGCTCTTACTCACCCGTGCACTCAATTATTATAAAATGTTACAGTTTCATTGAAAGGTATCTGAATTAATTAAATATTGTGTTTTTTCATAAAAAAGATGAATTTCAACCCAAACAAATTACAAAATGCATTTTTATATTTCAACAAAAATACGATATTATTTTCAATCTCAACGTTAAAATAATTTAAATAAATTACCTTAAATTTTAAATTTGAACATAAAACTATATTAATTTTTTAAAAATAGTCAATCGTTTGTTTTCACTCAGACAACAAGATGACGACAAGGAGTAATGTCGTTTTGGTCATTTAAATCCATAAACTCTACACGGTCATAACAAAATATCATTTTATCTTTACCAATATTATTTTGTCTTAGTCAAACATCGTCGTTTTGTTGAGTTTATGGACTCAAATGACCAAAACGACGTCGTTTGGTTCAGTTTATGGACTCAAATGACCAAAAAGTCATTTGATTAAGATAACATAATATCTCGTCGCCATCGTATCGTATAAGTGAACGAATACATACGGTTGACCAATTTTGTTTAAGTCAATGCAGATTTACATTTAAATTTAATAATCTGGGTAGTTTATTTAAATTATTTAGCATTAGGGTTGAAAATGGTACTATGTCTTTGTTGAGATATAAAAACACATTTTGCAATTTGTTCGAGTTGAAATTGACCCTTTTCTCCATGTCTTCATGTAGGTGTGTTGCATTTCTGACCTCTCTTCACTCTTTGAGGTCAGTTTCTTCTCTCTCTAGTATCTCTCTGATTCCTTTTTCTGTTTTAATAGAGACAAAGAAACCATTGTTCTCTCAAGGGTCGCCAATTTTTGCAACTTTACCCTCCACCTCCAAAAAATGCAAAATAATCCTATGAAGTCCAAAATAATAGGTAATATAGCCCTTATGTATATATTTTAAACGTTTTCACGATCACATACAATTGATTTTTGAAATTTTAAAGGTAGAATTGAACTCGTCGTCTCGAGGGCTTCGATTTGATATATTATTTATCAAAATTTTAAAAACTTGACAATAACGAAAAAGGGCTAGATTGCCTATTATCTTGGAGTTCATAGGATTATTCTGCTTTTTTTGCAGATGGAGGGTAAAGTTGCAAAAATTGGCGACTTTGAGGGTTTTTTTGCACAAAACCCTTCTCTCAACTATCTCTTTATCTTTGTTACGTTTCTTGGTCTAACAAAGACATAAATAAGAAGAGAGAAATCTTTAATCTTCTACATTTATAACATTGGATTGCTTTTTTATTACAACACTCACACATACTTTTAGTACTTTCTACTACTAACTACACAGTTGCTTTAGACCATACTTCTAGACATCATTATCCTAAGATTATAACCAAGCTCACAAGCAAGGTTATACTTTAGTCTTTAGACTTCAATAATCTATAGCCCATTAGTCTTCTTTTTTCTTTTTTTTTTCCATCAACCCATTAGTCTTCTTATTACCTTGTTTAGGCCTCAATAATCCGCAGCCCATTAGTCTTCTACTTCGTGTTGACTTTGCTTCCTTCTCCTTTGTCGTTGACTTCACTTCATGAGAGCACCATTAACGTTGGTTTCTTAGTATAATTCTTAGCAATAAAAATAAAGAAAACTAATAAAAAGTTAAGAAAAGGAAGAGAGAGAATGTCTAAAAGCTCTTACATAAGAGACATTCTTACAAACTAAAAACACGTACAGCTCTGTGAATGGTTTATCTAATTAAAATATTAGAATATAATTGCAAAATTAAAATATTATTACTTTTTGTTTTTTAAGAAATCTCATAGCATACCAACGTTATTGATGCCCTGACAACTTCTTCTTCTTCACTTCTGCTTCGCTTTGTTCTTCTTCTCACTTGACACTTATTTCCTGTACATGTCGTAGGATGTAATCAAGGATCCAACTCCAACAAGGTACTTCTATCTGTAAAAAAGAAGGTAAAAGAAGAAAGGACACATTGTTTTCGCTAAATTTTTTTGAAAGATAAAATATTTGTGAAACCGTATATGATATACATATCAACTTTGAATTTCGAGTTTGACGAATAATGCAAATTTAAAACAATATTAGTTAAAAGGATTTCAGACATGTTCTTAATTTTGAAAATTACTATCTTAGTTAGCACTTTAAAGCATACATATATCATATGCAACTATCACTATCACATCTCATGTTGAGTATTGTAAAAATCACTGTGAATAAAGCGTTCTATCGTTTGCAAGTAGATTGTAACCGTCTCAAAGTTGTCGCCGAATATCTCCTCTACAAATTTTTTCTCCCTTTATTCAAATTGAGTTAAGACAAAGAAATATATTCTTCTAATTAAAATCTAATTTTCGCTATAAATAAAAATTGTAACTCAACTTACCACATTTGAATTAACTCATGAAAATTTCCATGTTTTTGAGTTAAGTTTTGACTTAACAATTTTACAAAGGAGATAACTCAAAAACCTAAGTCAATCATAATTCAACAAACTTGAATCTCAAACTCAAGTTTTTTTCTTAAAAATCATGATTGGTGACGTGTTTATCTTCATAACACATGGTAACTCATGTTACCAATCACTCCCTACTTAATATCTCCTTTCTATTTTCTCTTGTCTATGGGCTGGTGTTAGAAATGTTGCCTCTTGCCTTCAGGTCAAATTTGAACCAGGCTTGGGACAAAAAGATTTGCATCCAACTCCTCACAAACCGCCTTTCGACTCTTTTCCGTAGTCACGTTCCTTTCCAAAATGCAGTATTTTTTTTTTCCGTAATCATACTTCTCTTCGAAAATGTATTCATCTCCTTTGTCAAAACATACTGCTACTTTCTTCTCCTCGTCCATGGAGAAACTTACATCACACGTTAATTTATGGTCATAATTATGTTTCAAAGTTCAAACACACTACTGCCAAGAACTTCATCCACAACAAGACTTTGGTTTGATAGATCTTATAATTGATGTTATAATTTGAAGCAATCCAATAAGTATAATTCCCATTCAAAGACACCTCACGAGATTGAATGACGCAGCCGAGAGTGACGTCATCAAGAGCCCCTTCATGATCTAAGGAAACTCATAATTAAATACTTCAACTCTGAAAAACCCTTTTTGGGTAATCCAAGATCCTCAAGGCTCTGTAGCTATCTCAAAGTTCTTTATGGTATCCGAGGGAAAAGAAGCCGCTTGTGTAATGATTCAAAGGTTGGATCCACCCGGTTTGCCCCGAACAAGGGTTCCAAACCATTAAGCATGTTGTTATTCATGGTACGTAACAACAACAAACTGTCACAGTGAAAGACATCTAATATAGAGATTTGATTTAAGTTAAGATTGCAAGTACCATCTAAGCTGCTGAGATTAACTTTGGTCTGAACGTAGTTGAGAGGATGAGGCGGAGATGGTGAAGCCTACTGAGTTTTAGCATTAAGAGGAAGTAAGATGTATTATTATCTTGTACAAAAATCCATGTTACTGTTGAAGCCATAGGAACATAGTTACTAAGTTTGTTTTCTCTTTTGTAGTTAGTTACTACATATATCCTTTTAACTAACTATTCTCCATACTGGTTTAGAATATAGGACTCTAATGTTGCCTAGTGCCTCCAGGTTGAATTTGAACCAAGCTTGGGACACAGCTGCAAATCTAAAGGCCTGTATACTTCCAATCTCGACTTTTCCAAAGTCACAATTCTCTCCAAAAATGTATGCAATTCCTTTATTGTCACAACATACGGCAACTTTCTTCTCCTCGTCCTTGATGAATAAACTTACATCACACGTAAGTTTAAGGTGAAAATAAGAGTTAAAATCCACTGCCAACAACTTGCTCCAAGACAAGGCTTTGGTCTGATCAATCTCATCGTTAGTTGTCACCCAAATCTCCACCTTTGACGCATCCTGATTCTGTTGCAAAATCGAAAGTTTCTCTTCTCTAACAAGAGATAGTGCCAAAACTTCATAGCCAAGACTCTGAGAGGGAAGATTAAGCCGTCCAAATCCCTCTGTTGTGAAATCAAAACTTAGTAGTACAAAGCCTTTGACTTGTGACGCAATCCAATAAGTATTTCCCTTTAAAGACATCCCACGAGATTGTATGATGCAGCCGAGGGTCACGTCATCGAGGACGTCATCAAGAGCCCTCCATGAATTAGAGTTCAACTCAT